GTCATAATTGTGTGATTCCAATATTTTGATGCAGCATATGCTTATTTTTCCAAAAGGCTTCTGGTCAACTGGGCCAGTTCCAGTGGATTGAAGTTTTGTTTTTTGACTGAAAGGAATGGACTTGAGCAATCACTTAGCATTCACTGGGCACCTGCTCTGTGCCAGCACCTATTGTAAAGATGCTGAGGGACAAGGAGGGAGGTGGCAGTCAAACACAGGAACAGCAGGTGGTTGAGGGGTGTCTAGTATGTTGGGAAGGACAGCTGTGGTTTGAAACTAGAGCCTGGGACATTCCCCCATTTTCCGTGCCCATTTATTGTGTTGTCATGAGTCGTTACTGTGCACTGTGCTAGGCACTGATGACAAGACAATTAAAGGACTTCCCCAAAGACACAGAATAAGTAAACAGCAGCTCACTGGCTCAGGATCCTCATTCATGAATGTTCCTAACTCACACAACACAGGTCTGAGCACCACAGGGTGATGTGTGTCTTCAGCCTGACCACGAGATGGGCTGGGAGCCGATTTTCTTTAGGTGGCAATAAGCCACAGATGTCGTATCACCCCAGAAAGTGGAGTCCCACTGCTAGCTTTCCATTTCAGAGTCACCACCTCCAGGAAGCCTTCCCAACCCCTCTGCCCGTTCTAAGGCAAGACTCTACTTCTTTGATGCTTCCTATACAATCCCTTGTGTGTGTCCCCCCATAGTATCAGAGTATTCATGACCACCTGCAACCATTTTGACTCTACTTACGTTTTGCTTGTGTCCCTGTCCCCCATATCCCAGTGTGCCACTGTTTACTTATTCTCTGTCCTTGGGGAAGTCCCCACCATCTCTCAAACTCCAGATAAGGGCAACAAGGATAGCAATAACTAACACTGACATCACTGACTGTGTGCTCAACATTGTCCTGAGAAACTTACATGTTATTGATTTGTTTACTCTTCGTAGCAGCCCTGTAGATACATACTGTCATTACCCGCTTTCTCACATGAGGAAACTGAGGCACAGAGAGGGTGTTTTAGTCTGTTTTGCATTGCCATAAAGGAATACTTGAGACTAGATCTTTTACAAACAAAAGAGGTTTGATTGGCTCATGGCTGTGCAGGCTGTATCAGCATGGCCCCTGCATCTGCTCAGCTTTTCATGAGGCCTCAGGAAGCTTTTACTCTTGGCAGAAGGTGAAGGGGGGAGCGGGCATGTCACATGGCAGGAGAAAGAAAAAGAGAGAGAGGGGAAGAGGTGCCAGTCTCTCTAAACAACCAGCTCTTGCGTGAATGAATAGAGCGAAAACTCGCTCATTACCACAGGGAGGATCCCAAGCCACTACTGAAGGATCTGCACCATGACCCAAACACTTTTGGCTTAGCCCCACCTGTAACAGTGGGTCACTTTTCAACGTGAGATTTGGAGGGGATAAATATCCAAACTGTATCAGAGGGTTAGTAATTTACCCAGAGTCACACACAGGCAGTAAGTGGCAGAGCCAGTATGCAAATCCAAGCTGCCTGGCTCTTAACCACTGCACCACACTGCCTCCTGTGTGATAGGGACAGTAGTTCCCACCTCCAGGGCAGTTATGAAGCTTGAGTGAGACGCATGTTTATGGCGTCCACTGCAGGACCTGGCTGGCAATTCAACTCTTTTTTTTTTTTTTTTTTGGATGAGGTCTCACTCTGTCACCCAGGCTGGAGTGCAGTGGCACAATCACAGCTTGCTTCAGCCTTGACCTCCTGGGCTCAAATGATCCTCCACCTTAGTCCCCGAAGTAGCTGGGACTTCAGGTACATGGCACCACACCCAGCGAATTTTTTTTTTTTTTTTTTGGAGAGATGGGGTTTCACCATGTTGCCCAGAGTGGCCTCAAACTCCTGGGCTCAAGCAATCCTCCCATCTTGGCCTCCCAAAGTGCTGAGATTACAGACCAACTCATTGTTTCTGAGTTCTTATTTTGTGTTCCGACTCTGTGCCAGGTTCTGACCGAGGCACTGGGGATATAGGGAGTAAAACTCACATTAAACATCAGACAAACAATCACACAAGAAGTCAGTTAACTACTTATACGATGAGTGCCTCCAAGGAAAAATTCTGGGTGATCTTGGGTGTGTGAAATGGGGTTTTATCTACGTTGGAGTATCAGGGAAGACATTTAAACAAAATCTGTTGTGGAGAGATGAGTAGGAGCCACAGGAGAGACAACGTGTGGTGGGCGGAGCAGTCCAGCAGAGGGAAGCACGTAGGGGAGAGCCCAGAGGCAGGAGAGGTCACTGTGGTTAGAGGGGTGACGGGGCCAGGCCATGCAAGGACTTCCAGGGCTGGATCTGGGACTGTGGACTTCATCCTGAAGGCAGTGGGGAGCTCACCATTTGATGTAGAATTGACAGGGTGTGATGATCATCTTGATAGAGACCACTTTGGCTACAGAAAGAGAATAGAGCAGCCCAGAGTGGCCAATGAAAAGGGCTGGTAAGAGGTGGTGGTGGCCTGGACTAGGATAGTGGCAATGGGAGAGAAACAGATTTTAAAGATACTTTGGAGGCGTTTCATTGGATTTGAGAGATGCCGGAGAGTGATTCCCAGGTTCATAGTTCTATGAACTGGATGGAAGGTAGTGTCACTTGATGAGATGGGGAGGACACAGGGGCACGGCAGGGGAAGGGGTATTATAATCAATAAACGAGAACATTGATTGGGCATGGAGGGGCTCAGCCCTGGAGCTCAGATGAGTGACCAAGGCTGGAGGGTAAATGCGGCACCTAGATGAGAATCGAAACCCAGACTGGTTGAGGTCCACCTGGGGAGGCAATGTAGGGCAGGAAGAGAGGGGAGTTCAGGACAGCCTGAGGAACCCTAGCATGAGAACAGAGAAGGCGAAGGTGAAGCAGGAAGGTGGGCACGGTCATGGCCTGTTCCCAGATGACTGTTTGCCCATCTGTGAGATCATCCCACTGCAGCCCTGCAGAGGGAGGCAATGAGCAAAGGGCCATATGGGCTCTGGGTCCCGGTGGTGGGTCCCAGGGTGTCAAGGCACTTACCCTCTCAGTCTGGTCTACCACTGTAAAGGGTAGTCTACGGCTCCTCCCCATGGAATTTAGGTGTCTTGTGCTTTCTGCCATTGCCACAGGCTGTACGCACACCCAGCTATCCCCACTGCTCAGTGACTTCACCCAGCAGACACTTGGGACTGGCCACCACCAACCAGGTCCTGTGACAGGCTCAGTGACCTTCACTATTTTAACACACACTCTTAACAAACAATACGGTGATGCTAGAAGATGTTATTTCTTACATACTATTGTGGTTTAGGTTTCCCCCCACCTGTATGTATATTTCTTGATTGATTTAAGATTTAGCACTGTACGTAACAATATGTTATGTAGTTATACAGTCTGAAAGAGCTAGAAGGAAGATATTGAATGTTCCTAACACAAATGATAAATGTTCAAGATGCTGGATATGCCAATTACCCTGATCTGATCGTTATGCATTATTTGTATCAAAACATCACTGTGTATCCCATAAGTATGTACCATTATTTTATGTCCATTTAAAAAATGAAAGAAAAAGTGTGAAAAACATTTACCTTTATATTTACCAGTGCCTTTGATATCCTTCCTCTGTTCTGGAACATTCTCAACTATTATCTCCTTAGTTCTCCCCGACCTATTCTCTCACTCTTCTCCTTCCAGAATGCTGATTGAACAGGCATCCATTAGATACTCTTACTCTCCCTGCTGTGCACATAAACTCTCTTTCATATTTCCTTTTTTGACCCTGTCTGCCGAACTCTGGATAATTTCTTCTGAGTTATCTTCCAGTTGACACATCTCTCTTCTGCCAGGTCTAATCTCTTCCTGAGTGTAGAAATGGAAGAATGACTCCTCAAGACAATGTAACCTTGGTACTAAAACTCCAACAAGGACAGTATGAGATAGGAAAATTACAGGCCAGTCACACTTGTGAACCTGATACAAAAGTCCTAAACAAAACATCAGCCAACAAAACCCAACAATCTATAAAAAGAATAATACGTCATGACCAAATAGGGTTTATTCCAGGAATGCAAGATCGATCTACCATTAGAAAAGCAAATTACATATTTACTACATTAACTGAATTAAAGGAGAAAGATCATTTGAGCCTGTCAGTAGATGCAGGGGGAAAGAATTTGATAAAATTGAAAAGCCATGCGCGATTTTAATAAAACCACACACTTTGACCCACCAGGAGGTCCCTCAACTTGCTAATGAATACCTCAAAGAACCCGTGGCAAATGGCATCCTTTGTGGTGAAATATTGAGCTCTTTATGGTAAGGAAAAAGGCCAGGATGTCTGCTCTCACCATTTCTATTCAGCGTTGTCCTGGAGGTTCCTGGACAGTTTGGCAAGGTGGGAAAAAATAAACAAGGAAGTATTGGAAGGGAAGGTGCCCAGGTGACTCCTGGTTTCTTGCTTGTGCTCCTGCAAGGATGTTTGTGCCATTTACCAAGATGAGAAAGACTGAGAAGCCCTGGGCTGAGTGTTGGGAGCACAAGAGAAAGTGGCCTGGCTTCCCTGGAAAGATCACCAAGCATGGAATCAGGACACTTCAGCTCTATTCCCAACTCTTCCCCCAACCTTGGATGGACTGCTTTCCTCCCTGGACCTAAGTCCCCGTCTGTGAAATGGGTGGGCCGGAAAGATGGATCCAAGGTGGGCTGTGATGGCCAGATCTGGTGGGAAACCACAGAGAAACAGGGGAAGCTGGCCCCCATTCTCCAGGAGGGCAGGCTTTTGTGTGCAGAGCCTCTGGTGGAAGGAAACATCTGTTTGGGGATAGGGCAGGAGTCCGACCAACTCAGGGCACCGTCTTGACCCTCTGCCTTGCAGAGGCATCATCCCTTCTCTCCTTTGCCAAGGGGTTGCTATCGTTATTGTCGTTGCTATCATTGATGTTGTTGGGTGTGTTCTGTGGTTGTAAGGCACTGACCCCCACCAACATGTCTTTTTGATGTTTTAGACCTTCAACAGCCAGAGCGAGAACAACGAAGACTATGAGATCCCCCCGATAACACCTCCCAACCTCCCTGAGCCATCCCTCCTGCACCTGGGGGACCACGAAGCCAGCTACCACTCGCTGTGCCACGGCCTCACCCCCAACGGTCTGCTCCCTGCCTACTCCTATCAGGCCATGGACCTCCCAGCCATCATGGTGTCCAACATGCTAGCACAGGACAGCCACCTGCTGTCGGGGCAGCTGCCCACGGTGAGTCCCTGTCACCTGCTGCAGTTCCTGCTGATGACAGCAGGGAGGGGGTTGAGAGGGAAGCAGAAGAATGTTGATGCTTTGATAAGAACCCTCTACTCATGGGCAGGGTCTGGGTTCAACAGGTTGCTTGCGTGGGAGTCTGTGGGACACAGCGGGTGGGCATGGAGAGAAATCTAATGTCAGCACGCTCCTTCCTTCTGGAGCCCTGGGTACAATATCTCGGTATTGATTTGCATTATTTATTAATAGGATAATCTCATTTTTATTTTTTAACAGTTTTATTGAGGTGTAATTTATATTCCGTACAATTCACCCATTTGAAGTATACTACTTAAAGGCTTTTCGTATATTCACAGAGTTGTGTGACCATTAACACAATTGATTTTAGAACATTTCATCACCCCAAAAAGAACCACTAACTAGGCACAGTGGTGTGTACCTATAATCTCAGCTACTTGGGAGGCTGAGGTGGGAGGATCACTTGAGCCCAGGAGTTCTGGGCTGTAGTGCACTATGCAAATCAGTTGGCTGCACTAGCTTTGGCATCAATATGGTGACTTCCTGGGAGTGGGGGACCACCAGGTTGCCTAAGGAGGGGTAAACTGGCCAAGATCGGAAACAGAGCAGGTCAAAACTCCCCTGCTAACCAGTAGTGGGATCGTGCCTGTAAAAAGGCACGGCACTCTGGGCAACATGGCAAGACCCTATCACAAAAAGAAAAGAAAAATGTTGTATTGCCAGGCACGGTGGCTCACGCCTGTAACCACAGCAGTTTGGGATACTGAGGCAGGAGGATCGCTTGAGTCTAGGCGTTCAAGACCAGCCTTGGCAACATAGCAAGACCCTGTCTCTACAAAACAAAAAAATTAGCCAGGTGTGGTGGCATGTACCTGTAGTCCTAGCTACTTGGGAGGCTGAGGTGAGAGGATCACTCGAGCCCGGGAGGTCAGGGCTGTGGTGACAGAGTAAGACCCTTTCTCAAAAAAACAACAGGAAGAAACATCATATTTTTGGCCATCACTCCCAACCCACCCCCTGAAATCTTCAGCCCTAGGCAACCACTAATTGACTTTGTGTGTTTATGAATTTGCCTATTCTGGACATTTCATAGAAATGGAATCATATAATTAAAAAAAAATTGTATCTTAAGCTGCCAGAGAAGAGGGTGATTACTGAGTTAAAGTTCATGGGATAGGTAAAAATGTAGCAGGCAGACGAAGGCAAGAAAGAACCTTTCCCAGATTAGGGGAATAGCAGGTACAAAAGGAGGGCAGCAAGGGTGCTCGTGCCATGCTTGGGAATGGCATGTGGTTCATTCTTTTTATTGGGAAAAAGAGGAAGGACCTGGAGTGAAGGAGAGAGAGAGGAGATGAAAGAGCTCAGCAGGGCCTGCATCATAAGGGTCCTGAATCCCATTCTAAGGAGATATATATCCTTAGAATGGCTGATTTGAGGCCAGGCATGGTGGCTCACCGCTCTAATCCCAGTACTTTGGGAGACCAAGGCGGGCGGATCACTTGAGGGCAGGAGTTCAAGACCATCCTGGTCAACATGGCAAAATTCCGTCTCTACTAAAAATACAAAAATTAGCCAGGCATGGTGGCACACACCTATAATACCAGCTACTCAGAAGGTTGAGGCACGAGAATTGCTTGAACCTGGGAAGTAAAGGTTGCAGTGAGCCGAGATGGTGCCACTGCACTCCAGCCTGGGCCACGCAGCAAGACCCTGTCTCAAAAAAAAAAAAAAAAAAGTAATAATGGCTGATTTGAGCCATCAAAATCTATAGAAGAATGGTAGAGCAGTAGAGCTTTTTTTTTTTTTAATACCATAGGAAAATCTCCTTAAGGGAATTCTAGTGCTGCTTCTCAACAACTGGGACTTGTGTTTATTTTTGCTATTTTTCCCTTCACACTTAATATTACATACTAGTCATGACTCTTACATTCATTTTTAAGTGACAGGGACCAAACTCAAACTTATGCAAAAGAGTCTGAAATATCCAGGGAGTAGATACAGGGTTTCAGGCATGGTTCAATCCAGGAACCCCACCAGTGTCACAAGGCCCATTTCCACACAACAGGCTTGATGGCTGCTGGCAGCCAGCATCTTCCCTGACATCTCTGGCAGAGAGGACCATGACAGCATCGCTGGACAGACCACTATGTCTAGGAGGAAGCAGTTCACTATTTTGTCATCTTGAGTCACACACGCACCTGTGGCACAGGAGGAGGGCTGCTTAGTTGATTTTCCTAGCAGAATCTCATGGTTTGGGGTGGCTTGTGTCTACCTCTGCCATGACTCTTCAGAAGCCACAGTCAAATCTGTGGCCCAATTCTAGCAGACCCCTGGGACCTTAGGACGTGGCTTTGTAGTCAAACGATCTCAACTGTATTTTGTTTATTCTTCTTTTATTACCACCAAACTTCCTTGTTTAAAAAAGCTGGTGTCCTCTGTGTAATTTTGTAAGGCACGTCACATTTTTTTTGTTGTTTTTGAAGCTAGGTGGGAAATAAAAGGAGACAAGGAAGGGAAGGAAGATGGGAGGAAACCAACTCGAGATCCACATTTTGTAGTGTTTGGTTCTCACGAAAGAGTTCAATGAAAATGGATGCTCCTTTCTCCAGAAATTTTTTCCTGGTGGGTCCATCAATAATGCAAGTCCTCAGCTTCCTCTTCTCTCTCTCAAACCTAGCGATTCAGACTCACACCGCCATGTCTGGAATGGTTTTAACCCATTTATGCCTGAGGTTGCAATTTTTTGAATTTTTGCATTCAGACCTTGGCAATGAACTTGAGCAGTAGGATATAAATAACTCCCAGATGCTTAGCATTTCAATAATGGAACACTAGGCATAAACGGGTTTCCAGTTCGTTAGAATGTTTGTACCTTACTTGCTTACCGGGCTCATTTTCTAGCAGGAACCTCACTGCTCAGGACCATCCCTGTTTGGGATTTATGGTGATACAAGCGAGAGCAGGGTCAGGTGAGCACCTTGTCATCTGCTAGCAGGGATGTGGTGCAGGGGTGAGCATGGCTACAGTTTGGAGCCACTGTGTCGCTGCCTTTGGTACTGGGGTGAATGGAGGCAGTGTGGGGTGGTGGTTGATCGCAGACACTCGAGTTGGATCCTGGCTTCACCTTTGAAGCCTCGGTTCCCTTGTCTTGGAATCATAATCGTACCCACCTGAAGATTGTGATGAAGTGTATCAGAGATAATGTATGTAAAGTCTTAGCAAATGTCTGGCACAGAGTAAACATTCAATGAGCATTTGCTATTGTTATTTGTCGTAAAAATGAATTCCCACTGTAACTAAATGGCAGTGTTTTCCCTTAAGTCTTATTTACCTAAAGGAGCAGACTGCAGACACCCTCAGGTACATTTGTAGGGCCACCTGATTATAATAGCTCTGATAATTACAAAGCATGTTATCTTTTTATCAAAGATGACCCCCTAATCTCCCCTCCTAGGAAATGCTTTTGTTGGGCTCTGTCCAAATAGGCACTTGCAGTCGCTTCCCAGATTTTCTTTGAAACTAGCTCATGTTTAAGAGGCTTCACAAATTCAGATAGCCTTAATTCTTCCATTAGTCAGACTTTGCAAGGGTTCACTGAATTTTATATTCCCTCTTTATGTCATGAAAGATAAGCCAAACTCTATTACCCAGGGGAGGGCACCCGGACCAACTGGGAAAACCAGATAAGAAGATGTACATGCGTTGGGACTATCTGGTGAAGAGAGACAAGGGGCTCTTCAAGACGAAGTTTTTAAATTCATCTGAACCACAGGACAAAGGGGCGTGGCTTTGTGTGCGTGGGCATACACGCTACGTGGGTGACGCTGGAATTGGTGTTAACACCTGCTGGGTGTCAAGCACCGTGCAGAGGGCTTTCAAATGTTTTCTTGCATAATCCCCCCAGAAGCAAACCGAGGGATCGTGATAATACTATCATGAAGGGATGGAGACTCCAAGGTGGCAGGTGATTATATTAGTGTGCCACGGCTGCTCTAAGAGATTTCCACCAACTTGCGGGCTTAAAAAAACAGACTTATTCTGTCACACCTCTGGAAGTCCAGAGGCAGTCTCCTTGGGCTGAAATCACGGTGTCAGGAGGAACTCACTTTCCCCAGAGGCTGTCGGGGAGAACCCAGCCTTGCTTCTCCTCCGGCTCCTGGGGGTTGCTGGTCTTCCCTGGCTCGTGGCTGCATCATTCTGATCTCTGCCTCTGTCTTCGCATTGCCTTCCCTCTGTCAGCAAAACTCCCTTTGCCCCTCTTCTAAGGACGTTTGTGACGGCATTTAGGGCATTTGGGGATAATCTAGGATAATCTCCCATCTCAAGATCCTTAATCACATCTGCAAAGACCCTCTTTTCTAAATACAGTACCATTTACAGGTTCCAAGGATTAGGACCTGATATCTTTGGGGGGGGCATTTTTCAACCTACCACAGTGATCCTCAGCTGTGTGACAGCCTTCATTGAGCACCCACTAGGTTCAGGCATTGTTCTAGGCTTGGGACCTACAAGATGCCCTGGAGGGACGCCTGGTGCCGATGGAGAGAAGGTGAAAAGCCGATTTCTAAAACTGTGGTACATTCTCTAATAGCATCAGTGTGTGGTGCTCTGTGCCCGGAAGAGGCCCCTTAGATGTGGGGTTATCACTTCCTAGAGGAAGTGTCCCCCGATGCAGAGTAGATTCTATAAGTACTTTGTGAATGAATTACTGTCATACAGCTCCTAAACGGCAAGGTCAGAATGCAAACCCAGCTCTATCCCCTGTCATCCATCCACCTCTCAGTTTTACCAGATGACTGAGGGATGGTGCGGCCAGGCTGCAGAGTCACAGGTGGTACAGAGGATGCGCTGATGGCCAGGGTGCTTCAGGCATTGTCTGCACAGATTGAGATACACTGAGGATGTCATCCCTGGAGAGGCGGGCAAGGCCAAGGCATTTGACAGCCATCTCATAAATGCCAAAGCCCCTTTGGCTCTGA